GAGAAGGTAAGGGCAGCGCTCGATTCAAAACGAGGACCCAACGCAAGATGATTAGAAACAATAAAAGGCAAGCAACACACAGGTAGATGTGTAGAAATACGCACAACAGACAGAAGAAACAAAAAAGTCCCAGGCAGGGAAAAAAAAGGAGGAGGCGGAAGAAGAGGAGGAGGGGGGGAGGAGGAGGGGGAGGGAGGAGAGGAGGGGGGAGGAGAAGGGGGGGGAGGAGGAGGAGGAGGAGGAGGAAGAGGAGGAAGAGGAGGAGGAGGAGGAGGAGGAGGAGAAAACACGGAGGAGGAGGAGGAGGAGGAGGAACACGAGGAGGAGGAGGAGGAGGAGGAGGAGGAGGAGGAGGGAGCAACGAACTTTCATGCCTTCTGGCTGTCAGGCTGTCAAGTTGTCAGGCTGTCAGGAGGAGGAAGAGGAGGAGGAGGAGGAGGAGGACGAGGAGGAGGAGGAGCAGGAGGAAGGAGGAGGAGACGGCTTGCGGCTTGTGGGAAATTTGACTCCTCTCCCTACCCCCTACCTCTGGGTCTGGACGGGGCGCCACGCAAGTCGTTGGAGCGCCCAACAAGGCATCCGCGAGAAGACATAAAACACTCATATTTCTGAGGTGTGGGGTCGATCCTAGCATACCCCAACAGACCCAAAGAGGCATCCAGGGGGCCTCTGGCCCAGAGCCCCCCCGATATCTCGAAACGATGCCACGTTCCTCCGGTGGGCATCGTGTCTGGATGGGCTGGTGGGGATGCGCGAAACATCGGCAATCGAAGACCGCCGAGGCCGAAGATGTGGTTTCTCTTCCTTGGGGGACAAAAAACGGCATGACCATTAAAACTGTTCCACGGCCCGCGCGGACTTCTTGGATCTGAGCTGGACGCTCCTCCCTGGCGCGCGGAGAGCGCCAGGAGCAGCGCCGGAGGCGCCGCCAAGGGATTGCAGCACAGATTCAAGAAACCCGCGAGGAGCGTCGAACATGTATGTTTATGCTTTTACTCTTTTTCGAAATTCTCTCTCTCTCTCTCTCTCTCTCTATCTCTCTCTCCTTCCGTCTCCTGCTGCTCCTCCTGCTCCTCCGCCAAACCTCGCCTCACCTGGCGCACCTCGCCCTCACCACCCTCGCAAGTGCCATGAGCTAAACATGCCCTTGAGAATCTCGTGCCCCTTGCAGCACGTGCAGCTCACGAGTGCGCAAGTTGACAAAGTACCCCGGTTTTACGGCAAGTTCGCGCGGCGTCGGCACGCGCAAAGGTTTTCGACACCGCGTCGATCGATCAACCTTGAATCGATCGCGTTTTTTTGGACATCCACGTCATCACCTCCACATCCTCGTGAGAACCGAGGCCCAGAGCCAGCAGCGGAGGGGGATGCTGGCTCCCTGACACAGACCGAATAGTCTGAGTCAGTCTAGCGGCTATAGACTACGAGGGTGCCGCCCCACCCCCGGCCGAGTACGAGGAGACTAAGGGCAGGCCGAAGGCGAACATCGACTCCGGAACACAGCCAGCAGCTCCTCGTCGGGCGTGGACACGGGGGCGCCCAGGGTGCGCACCAGCAGGCGGCGCTCCTCGGCGGTGATGACGACTGCCTCCGCTGTCCCCGCCGCCGCAGCGCCAGGACCGGCTCCAGCAGCTTCCATCGCCATGGGCACGACGTCGGGGCTCGGCCGCGCCGCGGCCTGCCGCACGACGCCGTCGGCCCACTCGTCGTCGTCCACGTCCGTCTCGACCGCAGCAGCCTCCGCCGCGGCCGCGGGCCGAGGGCCCGCGTCCGCCGCTCCAGCGACAGCAGCACCAGCGCCTCCTTCAGCAGCAGGCGGAACAGCGCGCCCCGCAGCGCGCGCCTCCGCCACGCGGCGGCGCCGACGCCGTCGGCGCTCCACCTTCGCTGCCGACAGAGGCGTCGGTTCCTTCGTGTCCTCCTGCGCGGCGACGTCGCGGCCAGGCGACGCGTCGGGCGGCGCCGAGGCGGCGAAAATCACCGCCGACACCGCCGACCGCGTCACGGCAGCGACCGTGCGCCGCGGCGCTTGGGCAAGCACCGCGGCACGGACAGCAGCAGCCACCAAAGCAGCGCCATCCGCGACCGAGAGAGCCCCTCTAGCGAGGCGCGAGGCGTCCATTCCGAAGACGGCCGACCGAGCGCCAGGCATGCAACCGCTTGAGCCAAAATGGCTACGAACTTGAATCGATCGCGGCCCAGATCGTTCAAGGTTGAATTCAAGTGGGCCTAATGGCGTTACCGTCCATCGAAGCTTCCGCGTCGCAGAAGTTACCTTGAACGCATTCGCTGGCACGCCACCGCCGCATGAGCCTACAGAACCAACCTCACGGCATGAGAAACAAGATGCTACTGAATCATCCTGTGTCGCTGTAACTAATGCCCCCCCTCCGCTGATGAGGAATGTGACCCGCTGTCGGGCGCGGCCGAAGTGCTTACACAATCCCTCATACAGCGGCCAACTTGCAATTTGATCGACGATTCGGCTTGAACCAACACTGCTGGAGCCAAAAGCGCTTGGGAGGTAGCGGAAGGCTTCCCAAACTGGGCACGAGAGCCTGCTGGGACGGCGCCAATGGTGGCTCCAAGACCGAGGTTCTGGCATGCCCCAGGAATACCCTCGAGAGGCTGCAAGAGAATCTCAGAGGTCGGCGACTCCGAAGGGTGTAATTTGCGAAGGGCGCGGTTTGCAACGCGCACCCTGGGGGGGGGGAGGCGGGCGAGGACCTAGACAGGGTATCCGCCGCGCCCCGAGGAGGCCCGACGAGGGTGACGTGGTGCCCCCCCAGCCCCAACCGACGCAAATCGCAAACCACACCCTGGCTTAACCACATCCTCTGTCGTCGCCGAAAGTTCCGCAAGTCCCAGGGCAGCCCAAGAGGAAGGCCCCACGTCCGGGCGGGGCAGGGCGGCTCCATATTCCGCTTCTTCTTATTCGGTTTCTTCCTCCTCCTCCTCCTCCTCCTCCTCCTCCTCCTCCTCCTCCTCCTCCTCCTCCTCCTCCTCCTGGAGGTGGGCGGCTCCGTCGGCCTGGAGCGGTCTGGCAGGTGGGGGCCGGGCTCCCGTGGGCGCCGCGGGGTCCTGGCCACGGCCAGTTCGCGGCGTGCCGACCCCGACGTCGGTTCCTGGCACCGCTGGAATCGTTCAACCTGTGGGGAAAAACATACACAGACACAGACACAGACACAGACACAGACACAGACACAGACACAGACACAGACACAGACACAGACACACACACACACACACACACACACACACACACACACACACACACACACACACACACACACACACAACACACACACAGACTGTGTGTGTGTTTTCCCCACAGTGTGTGTTGTGTGTTTTGTGTTTTTGGTGTTTTTTTCCCACGAACGATCGGCCGTTGCAGAGACGTCAGCTCGTTCAACATCGACTGGCTCTGGGTCGCGCGCGGCGTTCAACGCCGAGCGGCGGCGGCGGCGGGGTCGCCGCCAGTCGACACGACGCGAACCTGCCGTACGAGGTTCCATCCATAGTGTCCCGCAGGACCCTGGCCACACGAGCAAGCGGGCAGCCTCCCCGAAAGAGTCCTGGCGATCTGGGTGCAAGCGGCCCCGTGGTGCACCCCTGGTCGAGCCGCCCCACCCCCCTTGAGGTGCCCAAGGTGCCATGCAACGCCATGGTCATTGGGGCTCTGAAAAGAAGCGTTTCGCCTGAGACGTCTACGCAATCTGGGCGCGAAGGGGCCCGTGGTATACCCCCTGGTGGCTCCACCTTGGAGTGCCCAAGTACCATGATTGCTACTATGAGTGTAAGTGTGAGTAGATCTGAGTGTGAGGGGACGTGAGGCTGGACAATCCTGGTCTGAGAGTGTGATGACTGGAACTGAGTATGCGGGGTCTGAGTGTGAACGACTCCAGGTGTGGGTGAGTCTGTGTGCGAATGAGCAGGAGAATGAGTCTGAGTATGAGTGAGTCTGAGTCTGAGAGTGTCTGCGTACCAATGTGTCTGTGTAAGTGATCCGTGGCATGAGGGATCTGGGTATAAGTGAGTCTGAAGTAGGCAAGGAACAGCGGGAGGAGGCGGAAAGGAGGCGTTCAGGAGGAAAAAGCAAGGTAGAAACATACCAGTGATGACAACAAACAGTACTTATGAACTGTTTTGAAGGGGACTAATCCTGCTCATTATATGCTCATCCCTCCTTCATTATGCTTCCTCGCTCCCTCATGCCTCCTCCTCCTCCTCCCTCCTCATTCCCCCATTATTCCTCCTCACTCCTCCCTCCTCCCTCCGCCTCCCTTCTCCTTTCTCCCTCCTCCCTCCGCCTCCCCTCCAAGACTCCTCTGGATATAGAGGCCTCGGAAGAGCAGGAAAACCTAATCCGAAGTATCCAGTTTCCTGGGCCCCACCCCTCTTCTCCATCGTGGCCTCCACCTCCCCCCCCCACCCCAGCCCAGCTGCAACGCATCGCCTCCAAACGCGAGGAGGCGCGACGCCGCAGGTCAGCCAAGCTGAAGGCGACCCGCAGCGAGGAGGCCAGGCGGCTGCCCCTGTGGAGGAGCACGCTCTCTTTCGCTGGTGCGTTTCAGCCAGCTGATGCTTCCCATATGATGTATCCCTCAGCCTCCTGGGGGCTTGGAGGCTGCACGCATATCGAACACGGCACCATTCGCCCGCGTCTGCGTCCAACCGCCTCCGTCCGCCCCTGTCCCTCCTCCCTCCACCCTCCACCCTCCCCGCTCCCCCTCTTCCGCCCCCTCCCCCTTCTACCCCCATGCCTCCTCCCTCCTCCCTCTTCCCCGTGCCCAGGTGTGGGAGGGCGACGTGGCAGCAGCCTCCCCGCCAGCAGCTCCTGGGGCGTGGCGCCTCTCCCCGCGCCCCTGCGCTACGGCGGCATACCATCGGTGCAACGCCAGGCGACGACGACGACGACGACGACGACGACGACGACGACGACGACGACGACGACGACAGCAGCCCCCGCCACGCGCCCCAGGAGCGCGGGGCAGTCCCTCCTCGCCCTGCGGCGGGGCGGTGAGGCCCAGCTCCGAGGCCTCCGGCGGCACGTTGTTGGCCCTGGCGGGCCCCAGGGAAAGAAGGAGGGAAGAGGGAGGAGGGAGAGAGAGGGAGAGAGAGAGAGAGAGAGGGAGGGAGGGAGGGAGGGAGAGAGGGAGGAGGAGGAGGAGGGATAGGAGATGAATGAAGAGTAGTGATAGAACTCCGTAGCCATTTTGGCTGAGGCCGCTTCACCCCCAACATCTGGAGTCAGCTGCGGGGAGATTGCTTGAGATGGCACGGGATGGCGCCCAGAGTTGGCGCTTTTCTTTTCTTCTGCTTCGGGTCGCCGTGCTCGTCGCCTTCACGCACGGCTGTCTGCAAATCTCCTCGTGCGATGGCTCGAGAAGGAGTTCGCCGCCCTGCTGGCACGCCACACCTCGGTCATGGACTCTTTGAGCTTGATCCTGGGCGACGTCGAGCTCGTCGACCGCGTGCTGGCTTTGTCACCCGCTCTGGGAGCTCTCCTCCAGGGCGCCACGCCCTCGTATGAGGACATCCTTCCTCGTAATTTGGCGCTCCATTCGGACGCGCAGGGATGCTCTCTGGTCTCAGCATCGGTGCCCGAGCTGAAGCGGCTCCAGAAGTCCAGGCTGCTTGAGGCGAGGCAGGAGGATGGGGCTCGCTTGGTCTCCTCCCCCGGTACTGACGAGCAGGTAGTGGGACGCTCGGATGGGCTTCGCGCGGAGGCTCCCTCCTTCGTGCCCGGTGTAGGCGGGCAGCTATTCGCGTACGTCAGGTTCGTGTCGTGCCGGATTCGGCGTTGGTTTCTGAACGCGGGGATCAATCAAGCTTGAACGATCGGCCGCTTCCGAAACGTCTAGATCGTTCCACATCGAACGATTCTGGGTCGCCCGCGGCGTTCAACGTTGAACGTCGCTGGCGGGGTCGCCGCCGGTCGACACGACACGGACCTACCGTACTGTGACACGGATGAGGCGAACGAACATGTCTTCATCCCTGGTTCGGGGCTTTGGGAGCCGCTGGTGGGGGCGACTTCCACGGGGCCTGCACGTGGGGTTCGGCGCGCTCGACGTGGAGCTCGATGCGCATGCGGTGCCATCGTCTATGCCTCGGCAGCGCTTGTGAAACCGGGGCAGTTCCATGCCACGGCTCCCGCCCCGCCCAAGGTGCCAGATCCGTTCGAGGAGCAACGGGAACTCAAGGCGCCATCAGCTGCAATTCTGCAGTCTGCCATCACCGCCTGGGGACGGTATTCATGCAGGGGGCCTCCCCCTGCGGCGCGGGAGGACCCCGCTCTGCCCTCGGAGGCCTGCGAGGGGCCGCTGGCCGACGATACTGTTGCTGGAGCCGTTCCTGCGGTGGCATTATTTGTTCGCGGCATCGGGGCTTCAGGTACAGCGTGTACGCGCATTGAATGTGGTTGCCGCCGTGATCGCGCTGTCGCTCGGCTTCATGGGTTCGGTTTTCCCAATTCGGCCTGAACGACAGCGAGTTGCACCAGTGCATGAAAGAGGTTCAGTGCTGCTCCAGCTTCGCCTCTGGGCTGGTGTTCGCAAAACTGTCACAGTGGCAGTGCAGCTGCTGCCAAACAAGAGGAGTGATAGAAGGAGGGAGGAGAGTGGAGTTCCTACCCCCAAACGGCCCCTGCAGTTGAAAAAAACACAATCGATACCACCACCACCACCAGTGGCGAGGAGCCAGGGCTCAGATCCAGGCGGCAAATGACAAATGTTAGCGGCTCCCAGCCACGGGACCGCTCAGGCTGAAAAGCTGGCCCTGGGCACGGGGCAGAGGTCCCAAAGGGCCGAGGGCACGAAAAAGTGCAACGTCGGAGATGAGGGTCCCCTGCTTCACCTCCCCTCAGGAGGAGGAGGAGGAGGAGGAGGAGGAGGAGGAGGAGGAGGAGGAGGAGGAGGAGGAGGGGAGAAGGAGGGGGAGGAGGAGGAGGAGAGGAGAAGGAAGAAGTGAGGAGGAGGAGGAGGAGGAGGAGGAGGAGGAGGAGGGAGGGGAGAGGGGGAGGAGGAGGGGGAGGGCTCCTCCTGGTGGCGTGGCACCCCTGCCGCGCCCGAGGACATCTCCGACCTCCAGCGGGGGGGGGGGGGGCATCGGAACTCTGGTAGGCTTGTTTTCCACCGCAACCACCATAAGTAGGAGGGGGAAGGTTTTTTATATCCTCCTCCCTCCTCCTCCTCCTCCTCCGCCTCTCTCCTCCTCCTCCTCCTCCTCCTCCTCCTCCTCCTCCTCCTCCTCCTCTCCGTTTTCCTCCTCATCATCCACCTCCTTCACCCCTCCAACTTATGGTGGTGGTGGTGGCGAAAAACAAATCAATCAGAACTCCTCGCCAGTGCGGGACACGATTACACACGCACAGGGGCTGGCACGGACGCGAGGACTCCGAGCCGTCGTGGCGGCGAAGCGGTGGTGCATATCTCCACAGCGAGAGGGGGCGCATTACATATACCCCGCCTGCGAGTAGACCCTACCCACATTGATCGAAGGAGGGCCAGTTGAGGTCATGGCAGCTCTCCCGCCGAGCCCAAATCCGCTCAAAGAAGCCCCTGTACCCCGATCCAGCCGCGTCGACGAAAAAGCTCCCAGAAAGACCAAAAGGACGAAAAACACCATGGAAGACCGCCGTTGTCTCGACTGACCTTCCTCCGAACTAACCATTTCTCGTGTCGACACCGGGGCGGCTATGTATTTTCGCACCCTGGCCTGAGGACAGCCCGCTGCAGCGCGGGCAGCAGGTACGCCAAGGTCTTGCCCGAGCCGGTCTCTCCTTGGATCACGAGGTCGTTGCCCGACAACAGCTTGGGAATGGCGAAGCTCTGGAGCAAGCAGCGTTTTATTTCACTCGGGATAGTTTGAAAATGCGACAAGGCTGGGGAAACCAAAAGATACCGATACCGCTACTCCGTGAACCTTTCCCGGGGTGCGTTCTGACCAGGCTTTCTAGGCGAATCCAGCGGTGCCGACGAGGGCCTACAAGGAGGCCCAACACAAAGGGGAAAACGACGGGAGGGTAGCGGAATTGGTATCTTGTCCTCCTCTGAGGGGAAGCTTGAAACTGCTAGAGAGCTGGTCGGGACCTCACATGATCGTCCGAGCCTTGGCCCCACTTTCTCTTCTCTCGTCCTGCTCACACGCGTCGGGACGGTCAGGGGCCCGGGAAGGGCCTGGAAGGCCAGACAGAAGGTTCGAGCAAACGAGCATACAGTCACACAGTCACACTTCAGTCACACACACACACACACACTCACACACACACACACACTCACACACACACACACTCACACACACACACACACAAACACGCATTTCAGGCGCTCGCGGCCTCGCGCGCGGCGACGAGGCGGAACAAGTCGAGCACGGCGGCCGAAACCTTAGCCAGTGCGCACGGGCCGGCTCAGCAGGGGGCCAGCGCAAAGCCGTCCGGGCGAAAAACACACACACACAAGCACACACACAGACACGCAGACAGACACACACACACAGACACGCAGACAGATAGACAGACAGACAGACAGACAGACAGACAGACAGACAGACAGACAGACAGACAGACAGACAGATACGCAGACAGACACACACACACAGACACGCAGACAGACAGACAGACACGGACACAGACACAGACACAGACACAGACAGACAGACAGACAGACACGTAGACAGACAGACAGACAGACAGACAGACAGACAGACAGACAGACAGACAGACAGACAGACAAACCGACAGACGCATATGCGTAGAAAAATATACAAGAAACATTCGCACGCGCTCCGCGCTCGCTGTTTCTAGGCAGCCCCACGCGTTGGCAGCAGACGAGAGGGCTGAGAGGAAAGCGGTCAGCCTCCAAAAGAGGCTCCAGGCTGCCCCTGACTCTGCGCGCTCCACGCGCGCTCAATCTCGGTCCCTGGAGGCCGCGTGGTCGGCGCACTGTCTCGCTCGCCTGAAGCACCCCGTCCGACACCCTGTCCCCGCCACCCATTCCTTCTCCGCCGACGCGTGTCACAGCAGACCTAGAACTTCAAAAAGAAACACCATCGTGTGATGCGCAATCGGAAAAGGGAAGCTGCGCACATTGAAGGAGAAGGTAGGGGATGAGCAAGAGGGTACAAGCAGAGGAAAAAGAGGAGGTTAAGGAAGGAGGAGGACGAGGACAAACGGCGCGACAAGGATGAGGGATGATTCGGATCCAGGAAAGTGACCCGCGCTGGGGCGAGAGTCCAATCTGAACGTCGGAACCGAAGCGCCAGAGGAGAGAGGGACGCGGGAGGAACGATGGAAGCGTTGACCAATTGGTATAAGTGGACTGCTGTTGGATATTGGCACGTGGAGCTGTGGAGCAGTGGAGATGGGTGCGTAGGAGACGCTGTCTGGCTGTGGAGTTAGGTAGCGGACCGACCAACAGTGGGGGCCATGGTCGCTGCTCCGATCAAAACAGAACCAGATGCAGAAACAAAGGAAGTGCGCACGTCCGCGCGGACGTCTTGCTGGCCATCGCTCGGACGTCCGTTCCCTGTGTTTTTTCGGTTTCGTGCGTGGTTTTTTCGCCAAATGATCAAGGGTGCTCCTCGATGGTCCTCGCCGAGGAAAACACGCACACGTCCGAGCGATGCCAAGCTTGGATCGGCGCTGATACCCCTTCCCCTGGCGGGCGCGGCCAACCAAAGCTCCCATGACAGATCCCAAAACTCCGCGCGAACCTCCGAAAACGTGCGGTGGTGCGCTTCTGTTCTTCAACGATCTCTCCGCTGCAGAACTGTCGATCGGCCGCTCTCCTGCGGATGCGTGGGATTCTTCAGGGGCTCGGGCGACCAGCTCAGCAACGCCGCGACGATGTCCCTCTGCAGCCCGAGCTCCTGCCGGAGGTCCGGCGCCCTCCCTCGAAAGCGGCCCCCCAGAGCCCGCCGGGCGCATCGCCTCGCGCCCCGCGATGCGCGGACGCGCGGCCCGCGTCCGCGCCCCGACGCCGCCGCTCCTCCTCCTCCTCCTCCTCCTCCTCCTCCTCCTCCTCCTCCTCCTGCTCCTGCTCCTCCTCCTCCTCTCCTCCTCCTGCTCCTCCTCCTCCTCCTCCTCCTCCTGCTCCTTCTCCTCCTCCTCCTCCTGCTCCTCCTCCTCCTCCTGCTCCTCCTCCTCCTCCACTTCCTCCTCCTCCTCCTCCTCCTCCTCAGCCGTTTCGGCGCGAAAGGCGATTTCGAGCTTGCAGCAGCAAACTTCTTCGAAACGGCTACTTGCTGTTGCGGGCCGTTTGACTTCGTGATACGAGTCAGTTTCAGTGAGCTCATGGTGGAGCACTGCAATGGCAGGTGGCAATGGCAAGGCTGGCAGTGGCAAGGTGCCTGCTGGTGCTGCCGCTGCTCCTCGTCATACATCGGCAACGCCTTGGGCGGAACGGCCGAGGACGGTGACTGGTGCGTCGGCAACGGTGCCAAGGGCGTCGCGTGCCCCAACTGCCACTGCAAGAAGAACTACGTCGGCTGCCAGTTCTGCCGACAGTGCGGCTCGCCCCTCACAGGCAGGAAGCCCAGGGGGGGCCGGGCCCAGTGGGCCCGCTCTCCCAGGAGGCGACGCCCACGCCCTCCTGCCTGGAGTGGGCCACTTCCTCGGCTCCCTGAGGCAAAAGGGGGCAAGGGCGGAGGCAAAGGCAAGGACCAAGGAGGAGGCAAAGGACCAGGAGGAGCTCTACAGACCTCTCAGAGCGGCAAGCCCAGTGGGCTGGCTGCTCGTCATGGACCCTGCCAAGGCCCAGCAAATGTCTGACATGGCACGAGACGCTGGTGACCCAGTGGGACAGCAGCGCTACCTGGGCATGCTCGCGGTCGCGAAAGCAGCCCAGCCCGCGCCCCCTACTGCGCGCCAGAAGCTCGAGCAGTCCGAGCTCGTCGTCAGTGACCTTCAGAAGCGGATCCAAGCTGATCTTGAACGCCTCGAGCGGTGGGATAAGTCCCGCTCGGCCGTCCTCGACCGCGTTGCCGACCTCAAGGGTCAGCTGGACGATGCCAAGAAGGAGCACCAGCAGGCGGTCTCCGATGTGCAATGCCAGTTTGCGGAGCAGGGCGTCAAGCAGCCTCCCACGATCAGCATCCGCGAGCTGGTCGAGGGGCACGTCACGCTTGAGAACATCCTCACCATGGGCGACTTCCTGGGCACGGACGCAGCCAAGCGCGACTACGACCTGGAATCCAGCGACCTCGACGAGCTTAACAAGCGAAAAGACGAGATCGCTAAACAGATCCAGGCCGGCTTGGCCGAAGTCTTCAAGGCCACCCTTGACAAGGCCAAACAGGCCCAGGAGGCACAACGTGATCAGCTACGGCGACTCGAACGGAAAAAGCGGAAGACCGACACAGGTTCCGCCCCAGGAGGAGGAGGGGAATCTGCAGGACCAGCAGCAGGAGCAGCAGCCGAAGCGTCAAAGACAGGCTCGGCCCCGCCAGCTGACGCTGCCGCCTCTTCCACCCCTACCTCATCTCCAGGACCCACGTTCCAGGACCGTCTCTCCGCTGCACTACGTGAAAGAGAACAGCGGCAGCTCTGACGTTCACGGTGGGCCAGCCATACACTCGGGGCCAAGTTTCTGGGACTACAACGTTGCTGATCTTGAGTGGCCTGAACTGGGATATTCGGTACCAGCGCTGCTCCCGCCACCCCGACAGTCGATTGCTGGACTCCTAGGACCCGCAAGAATGCTGTGCAACGGAGGCGATGCCAGTGGCTTCACTTCCAACCGTGGCGAATGCATCGGTCTGACAGGAGGCGGGGTTGGTAACACCGCCTCCAGTCGCGGCGAATGCATCGATATCACGGGAGATGACCCCTTGGACTTAACAATCCAGTTCGACGAGGGTTCCCAAGGGTGTGACACAGCCGCGGCTGCGGCGACGGCAACCTCCGTCGTAGACCTCACTGTGGATGTCCAAAGGAACGACTTTCCATGGCGTGACCGTTCACACACACTGCGAGATCCTCCCCTTGGCGATCACGGAGGCAGCACCACGAACACCACGGTGCTCCCCCAGGCTGAACAGCCCAGGACGTCTCGCAGCGTGCGCCTCCACCTGCAGGAGCCTCCACAAGCGGTGCAACGATCCGAAGTGAGGGGACCCAGAACTTGGAAGCTGGCTACTGTGAACGTCACGTCGGCCCAGGCCGAGGGCCAGAAGATCTCCGCAGTGGGCGAGGTGCTCTCTCGATGGGACTTCGATGGTATGGCGATTCCAGAGCACAAGCTCCTTGGCGACGGCGTTGGTAACACCGTTGCCAGGTTGAAGAGGGAAGGTTGGCACGCTTCCCTTTCGGCCGCCAAACCGGGCAACACGCATCATGTTGCCTCGGCTGGCGTGGGAATTGCCATGCAATCGGATATTGCTACTGCTGCCCCGCCGTCACTGGGGTGAGGGTTGCAGCAGCCGCAACCAGAGCGCTTCGTGGCCCAGGTATGCGAAGGCATGGTTCCAGGAGGATGTTACTTCATCTCGTGCTACTTCTTCACTGGCACGGGCGTGGATGTCTATAACAAATTCCTGCTGCGCGACGTCTTAACGTGGATCAAGGCGGTTGGACGGCCCTTTGGGCTCGGAGCCGACTGGAATATGACCCCCCAGGAGCTCATAGAATTGGGGGAGCTCAAGAATGTCCCAGCGACGATCGTGGCGCCTACTACCTGGACCTGCATGGCAGGAAACGGCAGAACGATCGACTACTTCCTCGTCTCCGACACCATCAGGGGCATGGTACGATCCATCTGCAGGCTCGAGGGCCTGCCCATTGACACCCACTGGGGCGTCGCCATCACCATTGCCCGAGGAGCTGGTTCGGTTCTGGCGCAGCAGATGTGCCTGCCCAAGCCTTGGCCGCGGGAGCTCCCAGTGGGAGCTCCTCGGCCACCGCCCTCCTATCACGACGCACTGCGGGAAGCTGAACTGGCGCATGACCAAGATGACCTCACATGGGCTTATGCCCTATGGGCCAGCAATGCCGCAAAGGAGCTCTTCGACCGCTACCAGATCTCAGCAGACAGCGTCAGGCAGTACCAGGGCAGGGGGGACTTGGACGAGCCCAACATGAAACTGGTCGCTTCCATCCGCAACACGCCTAAGGCCGCGGCGGAGGGGGCACAACTTTCTAGATGGTGGCGCAAAGCCAGTGCAGCGTGCATTGATCTGGCGTTCAGTATCAATAAGGGCACGGCGATCACGAGCCAGTTCATCCAAGACCGCTTGCGCACAATCAAGAAGCTCCGCAACATAAAGAAGAGCGACACCACCTGGGCCACATGGACCACCAGGGCGACGGCCGAGTGGTGCCTTTGTCCTGGCTGGCTCAAAGACACGAGCTGGCTTGCAGCAAAGGAAGCCACCAGCATTGAGGTCAAGATGGCCAAGCAGCGCATCAACCATTGGAAACAGGAGGTGCGCAAACAGGTCCAAGCCAATGCCAGCAAAGCCCAAAGCTGGAGCAAGGCACCTCAGCTCTGGGTTCCAACGCGAGCTGATCATGGTGGTGAAGGGATCGTTGGACATGCGCAACGCCTGAAGGAAGACCTATACGCGCGGGAAAAGGTATGGGAGTATGAAGGAGGCAGTGCCCCTGTTTGTGACCGTGACCTTGGAGATGAGAAGGTTCCGCAGCCGCTCACCCATTTGAACATTAGAGCGGCGGCCAAAACCTTCAGCCCCAAGACGGCCTCGTGCACGGATCGATTTCGGCCCCGATCTTTTGAGCTGCTCTCAGACGAGGCCTTGGAAGCTTTCAGCGGAGTCATGCACCAGGCTGAGAAGATCGGCAAGTTGCCGCAGCACATGCGCAACACCATCGTGCCCCAGCTGCCCAAGCCTGATGGTGGGCACAGCCTCATTGGGTTTCTTCCTGATGCTCTGCGCGTCTACAACAAGGCGCGCAAGCCGCAGCAAGACCTCTGGAACTCGCAGCACAAGCGGAGCTACGAGTAAGCGTGTGCAGGCAAGATTTCGGGGCAGGCAGCATGGCGACAGGCGGTCTTGGCGGAAGCGACGCGTTTATTGGACAAGCACGTGGCTGCCGCTCTAATCGACCTGGCTAAGGCGTTCGAGACCATCAAAAACGATCTCCTTTGGGACTCTGCGATACGACATGGCTTTCCACGGCGACGCATGGCCATGCTCATCCAGTCCTACGGCGGCCGCAGATCGATCAAACTCGGCACCATCTGCAGCGACGTCATCTGCACTAATAGGGGCGTCATAGCCGGCTGCAGTTTCGCCGTCAGCGTCATCAAGTGCTTCACCATGGACGTCTACGACCGCATGTACGAGCTCTGGCCCTCCATCGACCTCTCGGTCGTCATTGATGACTCCACGGTGCAAGCCAGTGGCGGCAGCGATCAGGTCGTCAACACTGTTACCCAGGCAACCAAGTTTGCATGCAAGCAGTTTGAGGACCTGAAGATGGAGGTCAGTGCCGATAAGGGCCAGGTGGTTGCAAGCACGGATAGGATAGCGGGGGCAGTTGCAGTGCAACTGTCTTCGCACCGCTTCCAGTCTAAAAGGGCGGTCAAGCAGCTGGGCGTTGACAGGCGGATGGCTCGGGCTGGGAGGACCGTTCAAGTTAAGCGAGCATTCAAGATGAGGATGCGCATCACGCGCTTCAGAAGGCTTGCGTGTTGGGTCGATCCATTTGTAGGCTTTACCGTACAGGAGGACTTCCTGCGGTCACCTACGGGATGATGGTCCACGGCGTGCCTGATGCTCAGCTCGCCAGCCTACGGTCCACAGCAGCCTTCTCCATCTTCGGCGCACCGAGGGGATGTTCCAGGACCGTTGAGCTCATGCTCTCGGAGGACCCGAAGGCGGATCCCAGCTATGACGCCAACGCCCTCCCC